GTGGTGTGTGTGTGTGGTGTGTGTGTGTGTGGTGTGTGTGTGTGTGTGTGTGTAATGTTGTGTGTGTGTGTGTGTGTTGTGTGTGTGTGTGTGTGTGTGTGTGTGTGTGTGTGTGTGTGTGTGTGTGTGGTGTGCTGTGTGTGTGTGCTGTGTGGTATGTTATATATATATAATATATATATATGTATATATATATATATATATATATATATATATATATATATAATATATATATTATTATATATATATATATATTATATAATCATATATATATTAATATATATATATATATATATATATATATATATATATAACTATATATATATATATATTATATTTATATTTGTGTGTGTTTGTGTGTGTGTATAAGTGTTGGCATGTCTGTCTGTTTGTCTGTGTGTCTGTGTCTGCATATGTGGACATTGATATATATGACATTTCTTTCATTATTCATTTTACTTTTTTATCTAGATTCACCCTTCTTTACAGAAACTAAGCTAAAGAGCTATGTTGATAGATATTATCAACATATTTTTTTAGTTGTGTAACATCCCCCTACATCAGTATTTCTTAAACTGTCATTTGATAGAAATGCTTATTGTTATGAAACATGAATGCATGAGGGTGTACACATAGTGTATGTGTATTCTTATTTTGTATACATATGTATGTGAGTCTGTCTGTGTGTTTTTATGATTGTGATTGTGAGTTTCCTTGACATATATACAAGGATACTTGATACTATTATGTAAAAATCTTCAAGAATTGTGTTCCTAGAGTTATAAACACAGCATAGATATCTTAATTAAACATACATATGCTAAGAAAACTAAGAAGAGATTGTAAATTATATGAAAAAAAAAAGTTTTCATAGATTTGAATGGTTTTTGGAATATGGAAAGGGAGATTTGTATGAATTGAATGGAACAGCAACTCTCTGTATTTGTGATTCTAATTAAGGTACAGTGGAGTACCAAGTAAATTTGTTAAATACCTTTAAATATAACATGCTGTATGTGGTTTAGAAATCCAGTGTAGAAAGAATTAATGTCACTTTATTACAATAACAGCACAAGATCCAGAAAACTGTCATGTGACAGTAAGTAAGAAACAAGACAAATCAAAAAGGAATAACCTCTCTACCAAATGCTTTACCCCATTACTAAGCTCCACCTCCCCAACAGATGAGGCTGGAGGCATCGAGAAGGCACTCATGGCAAGGTGTCAGAACAGAGGCCATGCCCCTCTCCAGTGCTACTGCCACCGTCACCACCACCTCTGTGGCTGGAACATCCATCAAGATCCACCAGTGCCCATACTGTGCCTACACAACTTCCATCATCTCCAACCTGAAGAAGCATGCACGCATCCATACTGGAGAGAAGCCTTTTGCCTGTCCCCACTGCCCATTTCGTGCAACCCAAATGGAAAACCTCAGGAAACATGTCCGCACCCACACTGGGGAGAAACCCTACACATGCCAGCAGTGCATGTACCGCACCACAAAGAAGAGCTGTTTAATGAGACATATCATGACTGTGCACAACGTTTGAAGGTAATCTAATCTCTGTTGTAGTAATTACATTGCTAGTCAGAATGTTCATAACATATTGTATGCATGGACATTGAAAATTATTTGTATTAGACTAATGGAATGCTTATTAAGTCAGGCAAGAACATGTACAAGTACAGTGCTAGTGAAACATTGAAAGTATTGTTTTTTTAAACAAATGCAAAATTATATATTAGTTACTAATAAACCAATAAGATGTTTGTTAATAATATAACCCAAAATTAATATTTGGCATTGTTATATCAAGGGTTGATCTCAAAAGACTTAATTACTGCATTGACGAAAAATGCATATGCTTACATCAACTGTCAAATCATTCAAGGTGTGTCACACCAAGGTGTGTGTGACACACGCACACACACACACACAACACACACACACACACAGACACACACACACACACACACACCACCACACACACACACACACACACACACACACACACACACACACACACAACACAACAGCACACCACACACACACATCACACACATCACACACACACAACAACACACACACACACACACAACACACAACACACACACACATCCACGACACACACCCAGGCATTAATAAGTAAGTCTCCAAATGCATGGAAAATGGTTCTGAATGCCAAGAAAGCATATGCATTTGCTTGTGATATTGCTTCTTCATTGTAATAAGCAAGAGAATATGGTCTCACATCAAGTGACACTTACCTTTGACCCAAAGTTTCTATGGGCCTATGCACATAGATGAAACACACAAGGGGAAAAAAAAGTAATAAAAAACTGAGGCCAGAAACAGAGATGTGGGTAATTGTAGTTATGGAAGGGAAGGGGGAAATTGTTTTTTTAGTTATTACGAACATGGTTAGCATGGATGAAAAAACTGTTGATTACATTATCTGCTCTTATGCAAGAGTGTGTGTGAGTGTGTGTATGTGTGTTTGTGCATGTGTGTGTGTGCCCACACATGCGCGCATGCGTGCCTTCCACACACATGCCCACACACACACATAC